TAGAACATTCTAACATTTAAACTTGGAATGATAAAAAAAAAACATAAAAAAATACTCAGGTGTAATTTGCTTTCATAGTATTTTACAGTTCAGTTTTGGCGATCTTCATGTTTAAAATTGCGCTCCCTATGCAGTGCATTTTGAAAGCATTGATGTCAGTTTGAACACACCCGTGTTTCATGACGACAGCTATTGACCTATTATTTAAAAAGTACAATTTACGTTACGTATCCAAAGCTTGTGAAAACAAAAAATATAGCAAACGCAAATACTTTAAAATTATAGTAGTTTATTTGTGAATTATCTGTACAGTATATGCTGGTTAGAACATTTGTGCAGTGGTTTGCAAGTGTCAAATTGTAAAAGGAGACTAAAAAGAAAAAGTAAAAAAAAAAATAAAATATATATATATATATATATATATATATATATATATATATATATATATATATATATATATATATATATATATATATCCTACTTAGAATAAAAAAATAATAATAATTATAATTATCATCATCATCATTAATAATAATATTATAAATATTATTATTAAAGTTGGATTTTTTTTATTTCCTAATGAGTAATAAATATAACATTTTATTCTTAATAAATAGACTCATTATTTATTTATACATACATTTTTTTTATAATTTATCTATGAGATTAGAATATGTTTTAGCTTTTGTAAGTGATTTTATGTTAATTTAGATTAGAATATGTAATGTTCTCAATAATATTTGTAAAGGAAACACAGGCTCTATATGTGTCATTTACATATATTTGAATTAATATGGAAAGCGAGTGCATGTTTTTACCAAAACTAATATTGGTTTGTTTTTTTAAGTGCGTGTAAATCAATATAATTTGCAAGGAAGATGCACTTGCACTCCTGTATATTATACAAAATCGACAGCAGTCACAACACGTTAAGAGGTAAATGATGTGTGGAGGCATAAACGATCGATTCACTCGCATCACAACAGCTAAAATATATACAGACCTCTGTTTATGTCTATTGGCGCGACTCGTGAGTGATGGTCTCTTTGTTGCAAGTTCAACCATTTCATTTACTGTGTTTTGAGCTGCTGTAACATGAGCAGAGCGGTTGGTTGTAATTTCTTTCCAATTTTTATATCTGTCTTATGCTATTTTCTGTAAAGCTGCTTCTGGCCATGATATGTTCACACCTGGTAAAAAGAGATGTGTTTAAGGGATTATATGCAACATCCTTAATTTATTCTCTTAGGTAAGGCGATATCTCCACTTATGGTTGAAGTCTGGATTATCATATTTTTTCCCCAATTTCTGTTTAACTGAGAGCAGATTTCTTCAACACATTTCTAATCATAATAGTTTTAATAACTCATCTCTAATAACTGATTTATTTTATCTTTGACATGATGACAGTAAATAATAATAGACTAGATATGTTTCAAGACTCTTCTATACAGCTTAAAGTGACATTTAAAGGCTTAACTAGGTTAATTAGGTTAACTAGGCAGGTTAGGGTAATTAGGCAGGATATTTTATAGCGATGGTTTGTTCTGTAGACTATTGAAAACAAATATACTGTAGCTTAAAGGGGCTAATAATTAATAATAATAATTCCTTACATTTATCTAGCACTTTTCTGGGCACTCAAAGCGCTTTACACAATAGGGGGGGGGGGTGATCTCCTCATCCACCACTAATAATATTGACCTTAAACTGCTTTTATTCTAGCCGAAATAAAACAAAGAAGACTTTCTCCAGAAGAACAAATATTATCAGACATACTACGAATATGTCCTTGCTCTGTTACACATCATTTGGGTAAAAACAAAATTGCTCAAAGGGGGGCTAATAATTCTGACTTTAGCTGTAAGTATCACTTGGAGGGAACATGTGCTTAATGCATTATAATGCTTGAAGCATAAGACTCGGTATCGGTCGAACACCATGACAAGGAATCAGTACTCGTTATCAGCTGCAAAAACCCTGATCAGAGCATTCCTACATTAAAGTCTTATTTTTTACATGTGTATTTATTTACTTCAATACATCTGCACATATTTACACTGTATTTGTTTGATTTTCATATGCAGTTATCAAATCGTCGACAGCACAACTTACGTCCAGCGCAGAAGACCAGCCCTTTTACATGTACAACACCTATGACAGACCAGCAGACGCCAGCGCAGAGGGCGTGTTTGCTCAAAATGGAACATATGAAGTCAAATATGAAGACAAACCAGGAAGGAGATTCTGGAGGTCTGGATATATTGCAGAAATAGGGGTCGGACGAGTTAAAGCTGAATACAGTGTACTTGAGTTCAGAGCTAAAGGCCCCAATGCTTCAGTGAAAGCAGAAGTGAGTAAAGTTGGAGTCGGAGCAATGGCTGGACTTGAAATCGCCAGTGTAAAGGCTAAAGCCGGTCCATTTGGTGCAAAACTGGGACTTGGACTGGACACGGGTGCATGTATCGGTCTGGGTGGGGTGAAAGCAAAATTTTTGGGAACTGGATTTTCTATTGGTCCAAAAACTAGTATATGTTTATTTGGTTCAGAATTGTCATTTTCACTCTGGTAAAAATGATCATTATACATTTCTTGTGTAGCATCTTATCATAGATATATACACTAGATATCGCATAAGGACCCTGAGCATGCGTCAATAGCGCCGCCATATTGGTACAGTGCTCCCAGGACAAATGTCATTCAACCGCACTAGTCAAGACAGTGTTATTATGTGAAGATGCGGGTCTTTAGCGCTGTCTACGGGTGTAGTAACGAGCAAACAAAGAAAACAAACCACAGAGGCAGAACATTTCATAGGTAATATTAAGTTTTTTTTCTGTTTTTGTATGTTCTGAACTTTTGTGCTTTCTGCATTCACCATAAGACAAAGCAGCTCCAACTTGCACTAAACACTCAGCTTATGCTAGTTTTGTTGAATAAAATCAGCAAACAATGCAAAAGAAATATGACAACGAGATGCTGCGCTGCCAGAAACTTGTATTATTGTCGGCTAACGTTAGTGAAGGAGTCGTTCATAACGGAGATTCATTCACAAACAAATCGCTCCCTCCGTCAGTATGAGAAGTGAAAGCAGGAGAGGATCTGTGTTTCAGGACGCAAATTAGATCAAATTTAACCGGGAGGTTAAATAGTACATTTCCATACACACAAACACAAGCTTTTTGTCAGTAATGCCCGTGCGGTCACTGATCCATCAATGTAGAAAAGTGATGTAAAATTATAATTTTCGTAATAAGAAAAAAAAATTACATACTAACATCCAGGAAAACTCCCGATCATAGATATATGTGTATATATCTGGCTTTGCATGGCCACAGTCCTCCACTGTACATTGGTCCCGCATTCATTTCAAAGGAGCGCTACCCTGTAGTAAGATGGCAGCGCTATTCCGTCCAATAGACAACAATAGGCCAGGCGACATCTAGTGTATATATCTATGGCATCTTACTATTAAACTATGAGAACAAAAACTATGCAAAAACTGTAATTACTGACATACAGACATTAATCAATGACTCTGTAACTATGCATAGTAATCACATGTGTTTCACACTAAATAAATAAAGCAGCATTGAATGCTTATGCTTTACTCTTCATTTCTGTCAGTGTGTGTGTGTGTGTGTGTGTGTGTGTGTGTGTGTGTGTGTGTACGTGTTTTTGTGACATGTCAGGACACAAATCTGTATAATGTCATGGGTATGACACAGGTATTACAAAAAGGAGGTGAAATATGAGGACAATGGTGACGTCCTCGTTTCTCAAAATGCTTATAAATCCCACAGAATGAGTTTAATCAGAGAGTAAAGCTGCACACAGTCTCCTGTGATGGTTGGGTTTAGGGGTAGGGTGGGGTGAGGGCAATACAATATACAGTTTGGATGGTATAAAATGAATGGAAACCTATGTAATGTCCCCACTTTTCACATAAAACAAACGTGTGTGTGTGTGTGTGTGTGTGTGTGTGTGTGTGTGTGTGTGTGTGTGTGTGTGTGTTTCACTGAACCACTCCAGTGTTCTTTTACATAAACACTGTATAAATCAGCTGTGTTTTTCTTTACAGGAATGTCCAAAAGATTTGAAGTTTGGTATTAAAATAATGTTTGACAAATCACTTCATTGTAATTTTATTTAAAGCAGTCGACATTTTCCTAAAACCACAGATCTTTCCTTTTCCACATGTCTGTCAGTTTGGCAGAATTAGCCTGATCTCATTCATTTTCTTTCATATCAACAGCTCTAATCTGGTCATGTGGCACAAAAACATTTTTGTTTCATTAATTAATCCAATTTACGATCACACTTGCTCAGTGCAGTGAATGAGAGTCCAAACAGCTAGTAGAAACTTCACCACAATATTAAAAACAAAATGTCATTAAGTTATGTTGAACTTCTAACTTATCTTCTGATTTAATATCCCCTATCTCTGACATTACTTTCTCCAGTAAAAAAAATAAGGAAAATCTGTTTTCCTCTCCCATTAAAAAAGCCACTTACATATTTGAACTGTCAAATATCTGTTAAACAAGTCTTCACTACTAAAAAATGACTCATATTTTAGAAGAAATTGTAACCCCTTTAGCAAAAGTGTGTAAAATAAACAAATAGATGGCATAGCTGAAAAACACACAGCTCTCTCAAACACTTATTTTCTTGAACTGCAATCTGTAAAGCAGACAGTTTTTCTTTCTAACCAGCAGATGGTAGTATTTGCCACAACATCAATATAAATATTCAGAAACAACATATTAAAAACACTCAAAATGTAGTTTGTTGTATATTTACCAGACCTTGCCTAAATTGTTAATCCATTAAAGAGAAAATAACAACAATGTTAGCCTCAACTTACAGACATTCAACACCTGTTTTATTTTTCCCCACAACACACCCTTCAGACCGAAGATACCATTTGCAAATACAAAAACACAACAACATTATTTTATATAAACTGCTTTTGGTAGTTTTAAAATTAGCTTTTTTTTAGGAGCACCCGGAGCACATATGAGTTTGGAAGCAAATGAGAAGGAAAACGAAACCAAAACAACAATACGAACAGTCTGGATGCAGACGGAGTGCAGCTGATATCAATGCTTTTACTGCGCAAAGCTAACCCCACCCTGACCATCACAGTGACATCACTAAATCAATTGAGTGCATCACTGAGACATACAATGTTGGCTTGCATTTGCTAGTCTGCATACAGATAATATTGATATGAACAGCAAACTCCTGGGCATCATAACAGTGTGGCAGGGAAAAAAATGACTGAAAACCGAGAAATAACACACGATGGAGACAACGACAATGGTAAGTGCAATTGAATAGTTTAACCTTGGTTTAAGAACCATGCAATGAATTATGAATTGATATGAAAGTATTTTTATTTAATCTTCCATGGTAACGTCTTTGTGGCTGGAAGGGGATCTGCCACATAAAACATATGCCAGAGTAATATATCAGAATATGCAGTGCTCAGCATAATTGAGTACAGCCCATTTTGAAAATGAATATTTTTCTCCATTTCTCAGTGAATATGGGTAATATATGCTGGTGCATTTGAAAATTCATTCATTTTCTTTTTGGCTTAGTCCCTTTTGCATTTAAACAAAACAGATTTATTAAACAGATATATTTATGAAAATAATATTTTAGTCACCAGACATGTTTAGAAATTGAAAGATAAGACAATAAATTAAAGCAAAATATTGCAAAAAAATTACAACCTACAAAATTTCAACAAAATTTTTCCTTTTTTCACTCTTGATTTTTCCTCTTTTTAAAATTTGTATTAAATATTTTACTATAACATATAAATTTGGCTGTGCTAGTTTTTGGACCGTTAAAATATTGACTTTGAGACGAGGGAACTGCAACTGCTAAAATGCTAACTCGCTTCCGGGTTTTTGCATACAAATTGACGTCATAGTTCCTCCACTCTATTGTACTGACATCTTGTACTACCTGCTTCCTATCAAGTGTTCCTATTAGGGCTGCAATATTTAATTTTTCTGCGATAAATATTACGATATGAATAGAGTTTAGAGCTGCACGATTCTGGATAAAATGACTATCACAATTCTTTTGCTTAAAATGAAGATCACAATTTTCTCACGATTCTGTAGATGTAAAATAAAGGTTGAGTAGATGGTTATTGTTGTTATTTCTCAAACATATGGAAAACAATAATAATATCAGGCTTATGTGTAGCTCTACTGTTGGTTAAAATGATACATTTTGTATACTCTTGGAATGGTTAATTTAAACAGACATTAAACATGTCCTGGTTTTTATTTCACAGTAAAGTGATTACATACAGAAAACAACTAAGGTTAAATTATTATGTTTAAGACATGTGCCTGTCATTTGTCATTGACGACATTATTAGACCATTTTTTCACTGGTAAAATGAAACAAAAGATTGTGTAAATACACCTACTGAATATGAAACCTTCTGTGCCACATTTGCACTGTGCATTCAGCATGCAGTTTATTCATATAAAGTGTGCTACATTTTGAAATGTCTAAACTATATTTTCCTTTATTTTCAGATAACAGCGTAAATGGGGAATTTTATACCTGCAATCTGCGAAAAAAAAATAAAAAAATAAATTTAAATGTTTCAAGTGATGTTGCTGAGATTACAAGGTCAAACACATGGAAGGGAAAGCTGATCAAAAAGGATATTTCAAAAAAGCCAAGTGTGGAAATTGGATCCGTCAATGCTTCTTTAAGCGGTGTCATAGGCATAGCTGACACTATTGACAGACCACCAGCGGCCACGGCAGAAGGTGTTTATGCTAACACTGGTGCATATGCAACTGGTAATGAATATAAACCAGGAAAGAGACTCCCCAAGGCTAGAGCTTTTGCAGAAGCAGGAGTTGGACGAGCTCGAGCTGAAGTCGGTATTTATGAAGCAGAAGCTAAAGGCCCCAATGCATCAGCTGAGGCTGAAGCCAGTACAACTTTAAGAGCATCAGCAATGGCTCGAGCTGAAATCGGCAGTCTATCAGCTAGTGCCGGTCCAGTCGGTGTGAGATTGGGTCTTGGAGTTGACACGGGTGTATCTATTGGTTTGGATGGGCTGGAGGTCAGAGTCCTGGGATTTGGATTCTCAGTTGGTCCAAGAACCAGTATTTCTCTTCTGGGATCAGAAGTGTCATGTTCAATCTTGTAGACATACAGGTATTAAATACCTTCCGATATTTATGCATAACATTTAAATAACCCAATTTTAGAGTTATATATTATATTTTAGCAATAGTAAAATGTTTTGTGTGATTTTTTTAAATTTTACAACTTGATTTTATTTAAAAATAAATGATTATTTTTGCAGGTGGTTTTCATTAGATTACACCTGTTTGGATTCAACCATTGTGAAGATTAATGGACAACAACAATTGCAGAAGATGACGACTAATGATGATAACAATTCCTATTGCATTATAAATGTTGTTCTAGTCATTGCACAGGTTGCTCACTGCTATGAAACACTGCTATGCTCTGAAGTCTGTCAGTTACATGGGTATGGTGTGCATGTGTATATATAAGGCGACGCAGTGGCGCAGTAGTTAGTGCTGTCGCCTCACAGCAAGAAGGTCGCTGGTTGGAGCCTCGGCTAAATTGTCTGTAGTGTATGAGTGTGAAAGAGTGTGTGTGGATGTTTCCCAGAGATGGGTTGCAGCTGGAAGGGCATCCGCTGCGTTAAAAAAAAAACAAAAAAAAACATGCTGGATAAGTTGGCGGTTCATTCTGTTGTGGCGACCCTGGATTAATAAAGGGACTAAGCCGAAAAAAAAATTAATGAATATATATATATATATATATATATATATATATATATATATATATATATAGCACACACATACATAACAGCATACATATACAGTTGGTCAGAATTATTAGCCCCCCTGTTTATTTTTTTCCCCTATTTCTGTTTAACAGAGAGCACATTTCTAATCATAAGTTTTAATAACTCATCTCTAATAACTGATTTGTTTTATCTTTGTCATGATGACAGTAAATAATATTAGACTAGATATTTTTCAAGACACTTCTATACAGCTTAAAGTGACATTTAAAGGCTTAACTAGGTTAATTAGGTTAACTTGGCAGGTTAAGGTAACTGGCAAGTTATTGTATAATGATGGTTTGTTCTGTAGACTATCGAAGAAAATAGCTTAAAGGGGCTAATAATATTAGTTTTTTTTTTTATTAAAACTGCTTTTATTCTAGCTAAAATAAAACAAATAAGACTTTCTCCAGAAGAAAAAAAAAATTCAAAGGGGGGCTCTCTTAAACTCCTGCTGTATACATACACTTTTTATTCAACAAACAGCTGACATTTAAAAATATATATATTCTCACGCACCTAAAACTCTGCACAGTGGTCTGTTCTGGCTGAAGATCCCAGATCACCAGTTAACTATGCATACAACAACATATTAAAGCAATATTATTGTAAAGGATAATTATTAAACTATATTAACAAAAATAACAGCAAGCAAAAGAAAGAGAAAGAAAACATTCTGTGCGCGATTATAAAAGGATGAGGCCGCGCACACGGTTAATGTTAGGCCAATTAATAATCTGTTCAGTGGTTAAAGCGAAAGCAACAACAACTGCTGCTGCTTACAAAGAATCTTGAGCCCTTGAAGGACTGGGTGCACGAGCATCGCACAAGTTTCATTTCCAGGCATGGTTCCTTCAAGTGATGAAACTGCACAGGCGCTTTTAAACACTCACGCATACACACACACACACACACACACACACATATATATACATATACATACATATCTATATATATATATATATATATATATATATATATATATATATATATATATATATATATATATATATATATATATAAAATAAAAAAAAGTTAGATTTATTCATTCATTCATTTTCTTTTCAGCTTAGTCCCTTTAATAATCTGGGGTAGCCACAGCAGAATGAACCGCCAAAATATCCAGCATATGTTTTACACAGTGGATGCCCTTCCAGCTGCAACCTATCACTGGGAAACATCCATACGCTCTCATACACTCATCCACACATATCCATGGCCATTTTAGCCTACCCAATTCCCCTGTACCGCATGTCTTTGAACTTGTGGGGGATATCGGAGCACCCGGAGGAAACCCACGCGAACACAAGGAGAACATGCAAACTCCACACAGAAATGCCAATTGACACAGGCAAGGCTCGAACTAACGACCTTCTTGCTGTTAGGCGACTGTGCTACCCACTGCGCCACCGTGATACCCTAATGCTAAACATTGACACTAAAATAAACATTTCCAGGGTTAATGATAAACTTGTACTCAGACCATAAATGAATGTGGGGCAGATTCTAGGTCAGTTGATGAAGAAACAAACTTGATTCTGTTTGGAAAGTGAAAGGACGATATGCGAACAGAAAAAAATGTCCATGTCATCCTGTGCATCAGGCTGTAAAAACTCATTGCTCATTCAACCAAACATTTTAAATAAAAAAAGAGGAGTTTAACAGGAGATGCGTAATACAGATTGAATCATAAAATAACATAATATTCCACACTGTGATTGGATGGAGTAGATTTCTTTTTTGAGGGGGGTGTGGTTTGAGTCACTTTTGGCCTATAAATGTTTGAGACCTGGCAGCCTGAAGCTGATTGACCAAACAAGCTCTTCTGAAAGATTTTAGTTCCTCAGACAAGCCACTAAAGACCTGCTAAGATTTTTTTTTTTACTTTAAAATGTCTGCAAACCGACAATTATGTAACCTTGAATTTCTTGAACATGGTAAGGTCATTTTAATAGTTGGCATTTATGATTTATTACAAAATCTGTACATCTAAGTGACACAATAATTATTTTAATTATTTTGTTTGTGCCTAATGTTCTAATTGTGGTAAACTATGTTTTATGTGTATATAGCATTTGTGAATACTTATACAGTCATTTATGTTTAGAAGGGAAACTGTTTTCATGTCTCAGTTGCTGCTGCAAACTTATGAAATAACTTGCCTGCTCATATGAGAAGTGCTCAGACAGATGGACCCTTTAAATCAATGTTTAAAGGCATAGTTCAGCCTTAAAGAATATACGAAGAGTTCAGATGCAAAACCCTCTAAATCCATAAGACTCTTTTCGTGTAAATGAGAAATTTGAAACGGTTATTTTTAAAATTATTTTTCATTTGTAAAGATATTTGTGTATTGCTGTACATCCTATGTGTATTAAGCAGTGTGTAAGCAGGCGGACAACTAACACACTCTGCGCTGGACTTTAGCTTTCAGCTAGTCTATTAAACGTTCTATTTTATTCATCAAAACAGCAGCGAGCCAACGATGTGCCTTAACACACCTCATTTCTAGACTGGAACAACCATGGACATTTGGCGCAAATGGATTTGCTATTTAAACAACGTGGCGGAAAACGTGATAAGGTTGCGCTGGTCTGAAAATAGCAACACGTTGCGGCAAACACATCTTGTGCCTTATTGCTCCAGGTGTATGTTAGGGCCCTCAATTTAAAATATTATGCATTTCTGGAATGTATACATTTTCTATATTTTATGATGTCCAAAAGGGACTGAATGATAGATCTAAGCCATATTTTATATAATGCTGGTATTATGTAATGTATTTTAAGAGTGGCAGTTGCCAGTCCACATCAGTGTATCTCCATGCAAGTCTCCATGCACAAAAGATTTCACTTTTGTTGCGCTTTTAAGAGAATAATTTGGGGCAGGGTGAAATACATCTAGACTAAAGCAAACGGGCAGATTTTGCACCATTACATACTTCTAGGGCTCTATTTTGACGGTCCATGTGCAGAGCGCAAAACGCAGGGCGTGTCAGAACGCATTTTTGCTAATTTAAGGACGGGAAAATCCGCTTTGCGCCGTGGCGCATGGGCTAAAAGGGTTGAGTTTATTCTCTTAATGAGTTATAGGTGTGTTTTGAGAATAAAGCAATTAGAGTCTCATCTCCCATTCCCTTTAAGAGCCAGCTGCGTCGTGCCAAGAGCACATTCGCTATTTACAAGACGTAAAGTAAGTCTAAGTGGAACAACTGAGCATTTCACTAGCAAACAGTTAACAGTTTTTTAACAGAAAACTGTTAAACAGAGCATCTACTGCGTGAGAATGAGAGATAATGGATCACTTTCACTTTCGCTCTTGGATAGGGAAACCTTTACGCACAGACATCAATTAGTCTATAAATAATTAATTTTGTTTGTTAAGCGCAAATATTCGTTTCAAAACTGTTTCTAAATTCAGTTCTAATTTCCAGCAAACGAATGAATGAACAATAATAATGAAGTGTGCTCAAAAACCTGAATTATATCCTCAAACACATGCTGTGCCCCATATGGTCTAAAACCTGCAGGTGGGCAAATCTAAGCCTGTTTTTAATAAAACAAATATAAATATGCATATAATTAATAATACTGCTAATAATAATAACATTATGCAAAAGCAAATTGTTATGAATGAACTGAAAAAGCCTCCCGAGATGAAGAAGACATAAAAGCAGTGATTTTTCATATTTATGTAGGCTAGAAAATAATATGTTTTGTAATATTTTAATTCTTTATATTTATATCTTATATCTATTCTTATTATATCCTTAATATTTAATTTTTTTATATGTAAAGATATTTGCCTATTGCTCTCTTGTGCGTATTAAGCAGTGTGTAGCGAGGCGCGTGTTTGTTTTGGTCTAATGAAAAATCTATGATAGTTTCTCAAAATAGCGACGCGCCAGCGGTCCGCCTCAGAACGCCTCCTTTTTAGACCAGAACGCCTATGGGCGCACATATGAGCGCTAATGCATTTGCTATTTAAACAGCGTAGCGCAACGCCTCAAAATGACTCTTGCGCCAAGCTGAAACTACCAAAAGACTACTGCGCAGCGCCTTGCGCCACACTGTGCCGGGTATATGATAGGGCCCCTAATGTTTGTTGTAAAACAGCATTTTTCGCACATCTGAGTTAAAGCTGAATAACATTCAGTGTGAAGATGCAACGACAAATAAAAAAAGCCTACAGTAAATGCATTTCTACCACCACTAAAGAGCATTAAACATCATGTCTATAAAATACATCTATTGTAAATAACACTTTCTGTGTCACTTTTGCACTGTGTATTTAACACATTATTATAACATATTATTTATATAAAGTGTGTAATTTTCTTAATTTCTCTGTTAGTTTGCACTGAAGTGAAACTATATTCTCCTTTATTTTCAGATGAAGACACATCTGGTACCATTTATACCAGAAATCTGCGTAGAAATAACCCTGAAACAGATTTTTTTGTTTTAAGTGATGTTGCTGAGATTAAAAGGTCAAGAACTAAAACAGGAAAGCTCATCAAACATGAGATTTCAAAAAAACCAAGTGCGCAATTTGGATCTGTTAGTGCTTCTGGAAGCGGTCTCATAGGCATGGCTGACACTGTTGACAGACCAGCAGACACCACTACAGAAGGTGTTTATGTTAACACTGGTGCATATGCAACTGGTAGTGAAGATGAACCAGGAAAGAGACTCCCCAAAGCTGGAGCTTATGCAGAAGCAGGAGTTGGACGAGCTCGAGCTGAATTCAGCATTTATGAAGCAGAAGCTAAAGGCCCCAATGCATCAGCTATAGCTTTAGCCAGTACAGCTCTAACAGCATCAGCGATGGCTCGAGCTGAAATCGGCAGTGTTTCAGCTAGTGCTGGTCCAGTCGGTGTGAAACTGGGACTTGGAGTCGACACCGGTGTATCTGTTGGTGTGGATGGCCTAGAGGTCAAACTCCTGGGATTTGGATTCAAGTTTGGTCCAAGAACCAGTATTTCTCTCCTGGGATCAGAAGTGTCATGTTCAATCATGTAGACATACAGGTATTAAATACCTTCCGATATTTGTGCATTACATTTTAATACCCCCATCATTATATATTCATCATATATTATAGTTTAACTATAGTAAAATGTTTTGTGTGATTTTTTTTAATTTTACAATTAAGACTTATAATGCCTGTTAAAGGTATAAATGAAATCAAAAGTTGTCCCAGCATATTATTTAATACAGGATGTGGGCCAAAAAAATATTTTCAAGGTGTGCACCTTAAAAGAGTTAAGGGTAAATATTTATTTTTGGTTTTTGCAGGTGGCTTTTAGTAGATTCAGTAGACGTCTGGATTCAACCTTTGTGAAGATTAATGGACAACAACAATTGCAGAAGATGACGACTAATGATGCTAACAACCTCTATACCTACTATAAATCCTATTCTATGTTCTTTTCATTATATATATATATATATATATATATACACACACACACTACTTCTGATTGATTAATTTTTAATTAATGACTGGATGACATTTCACACTTGTGAATCATAAGAGTAAACACAATGTAGAGCTGCTAAAAGAACCACTTACTGTAATGTGTCCACATGTATTGTTAGCGAGAAAGAAAAATGAAAGCAATATATAGATCATCATAAGATATGAAGATTAAATAAACTACTTAAATTATTTCTTAAGTTGCAGCTGGATATCACAGATAGTTGGAATAGATCTTTTGATTCCAGTTTCTTAGCAAATCCTGTCTTCTGCACATGATAAAATGTATTACTGAGACATAATATGCAACTGTCAATCAATAAAACAACACTGCTACAGTATGTCATGGTGTGGTTGTCCTCAAAATCGCCGGGATTTTTATCCTGATTTAAAATTAGAAGTGTTTATACAGTACCACTATAATATGGCTGTGTACACTATTCCACACATTGAGTGTCCAAACAGCTTACAAAAGTTTGTCTCTCATGATAGGAACCCTTTCATCTGTTTATAGGATTCAAAAGTCTCTTAAATGACTCAGAGTGTCAGTGCTCATAAAGTGAATCATTAATCCAAACCCTGAGGTTTACAGTAAGTGTATGAGAGCCAGGAGGTAGCCCTTTCACTTTCACTTTTATGAAGGAAAGTCCCAAGTTCTCCCAAGCGATTCCTAGAACACTTGACAGTTTTCCAAAAGGGATTTCAGCGTCAATGCTGTAGAAATATAAACCAAATCTTTTAGTTTACAATTCTTGTTTTTTGTTTGTTTGTTTACAAAAATAGAGACTGTGGATCATGATCAGCCAATTAATTAACTCTAAGGGGCTTTTTATGTGAAGATTTTTGAAATTATTTTCTATACTTATGGGATATATCCCATCAGGTCTTGTTACGTTATTGAAAGATACCTTTACTTAGTCACAAATTTTGCTCAATTTGGTGATTCTTTTGTTGATCAATTACGGTTTGCTTCTCCCAGTAAAAAAAAAAATAATAATAATAATGATAAATATTCATTATTTCAGCTGAATATTATTAGTCTACCAAATGTGACTAATCGCAATAATGCAGTGGACAACATTTAATGGAAAAAGGTATGGATGCCCATTTATAATTATTTTACAACTAGTAAAGTAAAAAAAAATAGTCTTACTAAATACTTCATAAGTTCTGCCTCGCTTGTCATTATTACATTAAGACATTTAAAAGTGATTTTTTACTTTTTTTTAACTGCCTATTTACAAAAGCATTTTGGAAAAGCATCTAAGATTTTATTAAAAGCAGAATTGATAATGAATGTATTTTGTATTGGAAAAACATACTGTCGGGCTGTATTGCATATGAACTACCTAAAAGATTTATGGTGAATTTGGTTTTTCTGCTTGCAAAATGTCACATTTATAAGTACAATAATGTTTAAACTCCAGACTTCTGTTTATTGTTTGAGAAGTTTGAGGAGCACCTTTAATTGATCAAACTGTTTAAAAACAAAACAATGCTTAAAATAGAAAAAAAAACTATCTATTTGCAATTCTTCCTATTTTTAATGATTTGTAAATCTCAAGCTTTTTCAGTGATGGTGTTTAATACTCCCGAAGTTTGTTTGTTTCATTTCTGTTTCCTTTCATTTGTAGCTTTTTTGTCTTCAAGCATGCTACCATTCTGTCCAAGGTTATATTACCTATTTGATTTTTTATGTATGTATAGTTTTTGTGCATTATAATAGTAAAGGAAACATGCAGTCTAAGAGACAATTTAGGGGCAGGTTTAGGGTTGGGGTATGTTTAGGCGGCAGTATGTTTAGGGGCGGGGTTAGAAGATAAAATGAGCCCTGTGTCTGAGAATGCACCTTCACATCGGTCTGCCACCAGATCTCTCTCAATCAAACAGCAGCTCAACAAAGTCTCATTGAGGGTTTCAAACGTGTGGCAGAAAACCAACATACAGCACACATCTTAGACCATAAAAATGGTAAGTGAATGGTGATATTTATTTGGGCTATCATTGTTTAAGAAGCATGCAGTAAAATATTCCTCATTGCTCTGACAAGATAGGGGCAGGATTTAATTTGTTTGAGATTACTTCTGCTGTGTTTTAAAGGGAATATCGAGCAGGACAAAATAAATCCTAAGCCTTGACTGAATCAATCTAACAGTTAAAAAGTTCTAATGCTTCTAATGTAAACCAGCATCTAAAAATCAAGATTTTTTTAGACTAAAATTGACTGACTTTGAGTTGCAAATATTGCAGAATATTGTTTTGCTGTGAAAATATACACAAAGCTATACATTTTAGTTCTTAATTAATTTTTTGACCTTGAGAATCATTGATTTCTGTAATTCATATAACGAAAACACTATAGCTCCACTATAAAATGAAGACCTTAGAACTTGGAAGAAATTTGCTTATAGTTTTGCGTTAAGTTCACAGAATTGCAAAAATCCTAAAGGGTCTGATCTTTTCGCATCTTAGTTAAAGCTGTATTTGCATAACATTTAGTATGAAGATGTAATGCCAAATAGAACAGTTGTCAGTTAGAGTTAAGTGGATTTCTGCCACCTCTGAGCAGCATTATACATCATCTAAATACATCTACTGTAACTGACACATTCTTTGCCTCCTTTTACATTTTTATTCACATAAAGTGTGTTATTGTTCTAAATCTCTCTGTATATTGGCACTGAATACAAACTCTATTTCCTCAAGGCTAAAGCTTATGTAGAAGCGGGAGTTGGACAAGTTGGAACTGAATTTTCAGTTGGTGCAGAAGCCAAAGGTCCGAATGCCTCAGCTGGTATTGGAATTGATGCGGATGGAGGAGCAGAAGCAATGGCTCGAGCTGAAATTGGCAGTGCATCAGTTCATGCTGGTCCAGTCGGTGTGAAAGTGGGACTCGGAGTCGACACCGGTGCATCTGTTGGTCCAAACGGGCTGGAGGTCAAAGTCCTGGGAACTGGAGTCACGCTTGGTCCGAATCCCAGTATTGCTCTTCTGGGTTCAGAAGTGTCATGTTCAGTCATGTAGACATGCAGGTATGTCTTTAAATATTTATGCATTACATTTCAATACCAAATTATAAACCTAAACACATTGCTTTTTATAAGCTTTATCTAGGACACATTGCTCAATACTTAAGAGAATTGTGTGAAGAGTTTTGCAAAAGTGACCTAACCGCCTTTAAGCTTGGCAAAGCAGTTTGTTTCACAATCAAAATGCACTACAGCTACCAAAACACTTTATACAGGCCTCAAATAAACTCATTCTTCCAGAACACGAGCAAAGGTTGACAGCTGAGAAACACACTGTCACCCACAAAACAATGAGCTAAAAACACTAACTACATGTATTACACAGTGTTTACTTGTGTAAAACAAGGACAAATCTCGGTTTATAATTGCAATATATATAGTTTATAACTGCAATATAAGTTACTGGAAAGAACCAGACATGATACAGAATTCCTCAATATTTTATGTTGTTTATTTATTTATTTTTTTTTTTTTTGCACTAAGTAATTCCAAAACACAAGAATTTGTTTACACACCATCTGTGACTGAAACGGATACAATAGTAATGCTGATCTGGCTGGTTAAACTGCATTTTAAGATGTGAAAAAGGTCTCAATGAAATACTGCTGTTGAATTTTGCTTTCTTATTCAGGTTTGCATTATGTTATTGTTTTGAACATAAGTTTAACAGTTTTGAAAAAAGTATGTAAGCCAAGCAAAATGTCCTGTACAAACAAAGGATTTTGGCAGCTGTTGTGTCTGAGTGAGAAAAGAATTGTATTGAAGTATTGAAAAAATATTGAGAAATGTGTCCTTTTGTCTGTAAATTTTTTTTTTTCATTTCAATTAAATTTAAAATTTAAATGTTACCGTTTAAATCTAAATTCAAATTTTTTTTTTTTTGCAGGTGTGTTGCATTAGATGGCACCATTGACAGTTTGGATCCAACTTTTGTGAAGATTTTAAGTGACACCTAATTAACCAAGTTAAGTCTTTAAATTTCACTTTAAGCTGAATACTAGTATCCTGTGAATTAACTAGTAAAATATAATGCAATGTCACCATCACAACAACAAGACATTAGTTATTAAAGGGCTCCTATTTTACCCCCTTTAAAACATCTTACATAAGTCTTCTGTGTCTCCAGAATGTGTCTGTAAAGTTTCAGCTAAAAATACCATTTTACCACTTATACCCTCCTGAATATTCACATTTTATGCTCAGATGACAGTGTAGCTGTTTTTGTTGCCTGTGTGCAATGCAACGACGCATTATTTTCTACACACACGTTTACACTGTTTGCACATCTACTTGAAGCATCCTCGTATAGCCTCTATGCGGCTGTGGTGCTTCAATAATCCGTTATGAATTACATTGATTTTACAGTCTTTTCTATATTACAAACATCCACTGTTTTAAAACCGTTTGAAACTCATTCTTGGGGTACTGCTGATCACAGAGAGTCTGAGCAGATCTTTTAATCCCTTTTTCCCATTTTGTGGACATGTTTATGGAGACATGTCAATCAGTTTTGTGGGTAGGGAAACCGTACTCCTATGTCACATTGCAGTGGGCCTCAAGATAACTGTGATTTGGATCAATTTTAACATCAAGAAATTGAAATAAAAACTTATATCCAATATACAGTGTGCCCACACTAAACCTACACAAAGTTCTGTCCAAACAGCTTACAAAAGTTAATTTTGCATCAAAATTGCTTTTTAAAAGTTTTGTGTTTGAAAGTATGTTGAAAAAAAATCTCTTTCAAATTTCACAGGAGGGCAAATCTTTTTGACTTCAACTGAATATAGCTGATGTTGAACGGTTTCTTCTGTATTGGGCAATCATGCAATGTAAGCATGTACTGGTGAACTTAAAGCATGACACAAAATAAAACTGAATCGGAATCTGTTGTGTTGTCTCTCTTTTCAAAATTAATGAGTAACATGAAACATGGGTTTAATAATCTTATAATGCGCTGTAGATTTATGAACAACCTTTAAATTCTCAATGCAAGCTATAATACATTTCAGTTATTTTAATGAAATAACTAAATTGCATAAAGCAACAAAAATATTGTTGTGAGATGTCTGTAAATATGTTTATCTATCATATAAATATATGTCTGCACTCTGAAAATATATTTTCATCATATTTAGTGGCTGATAGCAGTTCTATTTTAAAGGATTCCTATATTACCAGATGTAATATGAGTCTTTGGTGTCTCCAAAATGTGACTTAAGTTTCAGCTCAAAATACCCATCCGATGATTTTATATCCATCTGAAATAAACCAACCAATCAGAAACTGCACCTCTGCTTCGTCAGTCAAAAACACCAAAGTAAGAGTGAACCAGGAGTTTCCCAATGATTATTTGATGTATTTGTTGTGGAGTTTATTCAAGCCTTTTTGCATTTAAAGTTGCCGTTACAAAGTTTGCTGTACACACACACATAAAGTATATTAACTTTTAACTCTGTTTATGCTCGTCTGCTCGCAGCAAATGTGACAGGATACAAGTTAATATACACTGCTCTATGGATATCTTTTATGCTACTGTACAAATCAACGTGATTTTATGTCCAGAAACTGAAACTCCTTTTGTGTGATTGAAGCTTATGATATTACTGTCTTTTTATTAGGGATGCACAATATATAGGCGGCCATATTGTTATCGGCTGATAAATGCTATTTTTAAGATTATCGTTATCGTTCCGATGTCTAAATTAGGCCGATATCTTTAAGCCGATAAATTACATAATTGTACAGAACTGCCTGCCACGCACTTGTGTGGAGTTCATAAGATCAGGATTTAGATAAGATCAAGATTTGGATCAGAATTTAACATTAGAATATTTTTATAAAAGCACTTGTTGTGTTTATACCACTACAATGGCTGTGTACTCTTTATACCACAAACATCTGTTCAATAACAGCCTCCAAATGTTGATTTCCTATGATAGATGCCCTTTAAACTGTTTAGGATTCCAGAAATCTCCTAATGACACAGAGACTAAGTGCTCCTAAACGGAATCTGGGCATTAATCCAAATGCTGAGGTTTCCAGGAGGTAGCCTTTTCACTTTCAGTTTTATAAACGAAAGTTCCCCAGACATTTCCTAGAACAAACGTGACAACTTATCCAAAAGGATTTCAGCATCAATGCTATAGAAATGCAAACCAAATCTGTCAGTTAACAATCCTTTTGTTTGTTTCTTAAAATCTAAATTGTTCTGATAGAGACTGTGGCTCATGAGCTAACTGGCTAACTCTAAGGGTATTTTATTCTCATATATATATATATATATATATATATATATATATATATATATATATATATATATATATATATATATATATAAATATATATAAATATATATATGTATATATATAAATATATGTGTAAAAAATATATAATATAATATATAAATATATGTGTAAAAATATATGTATTTATAATATATAAAATGTCACTGATATATAAAATGTCACTTTAAGCTGTATAGAAGTGTCTTGAAAAATATCTTGTAAAATATTATTTACTGTCATCATGACAAAGATAAAATAAATCAGTTATTAGAGATGAGTTATTAAAACTATTATGATTAGAAATGCGTTGAAGAAAATCTGCTCTCTGTTAAACAGAAATTGGGGAAAAAATAAACAAGTGCTCTAATAAATCAGGGGGGGCTGATAATTCTTACTTCAACTGTGTGTGTGTGTGTGTGTGTATGTGTGTGTGTGTGTGTGTGTGTGTGTCTATATATATATATATATATATATATTAATCAATTTTTTTATATATATTAATCTTTTTTTTTTTTTATTAATCAGTTTCCTGTTTCTCCAAAATAATTTTCTATACTTATGGAATATACACCATCAGTTCTAGTTACTTTGCTGAAAGGTACTCTTAGTCACAAGTTATGCTCAATTTAGTAGATTTTTTGTTGGTCGATTATGTTTGGCTTCTCCCAGTAAAAATAATAATAGGATAATAATAAATATTCATTATTTCAGCAGAATATTATTATTCTACTAGGTATGACTGCTATTGTAATGATGCGGTGTGGATAACATTTTATGGAAAAGGTACAGATGCTCCCTGATAATTATTATGACAATAACAATAAATTAAAAGAGATTTTACTAAATACTTCACAAGTTCTGTCCCGCTTGTCGTTATTACATTAGGAAATTTAAACGTTATATTGTGAAGACATTTGTAATATTGTGAAGATAGAATCTTTATGGAAATTAATGTGATTTATTTATATTTGTGGACATTAAGATTAATTGATTTCTGTAATTTACATAAAGGAAACAGAGAGAAACAAGTTTTAGCAGTAAAGCTGCTGTACTATATTTTAAAATGGAAAATGTTCGATAATAATGCATCATTGTAGTTTGATGGCTATTTAAACAAGTCAGGCCATGGTGTGGAGCATGCATGCTTACAGTACTGTGTGTGTGTTTGTGTGTGTGTGTGTGTGTGTGTGTGTGTGTGTGTGTGTGTGTGTGTGTGTGTGTGTGTGGTATGAGATGTGTTGTCTATGACAACAGGATGCATATGTGACCAAAAAGGCTATAAATGAAATTACTACAATTTAAACCCTTCAAAAAGTCTGTTTATTAAAGGATTATTCAATTCTCTTTCCTTTCCTGTTTTCTTCCTGTCCTTTCACTGGACTGTGTGGAAAAAAAAAAAAAAATTTCCAGTCCTTGAAGACACTTGACGCACAGGGCTCAAATATTTTTTTAGATTTGTCAAGAATATAATTTTGAAAAAAAAATAAATAAAAAAATAACAAAACAACTGACAATACTCCAGCCACACTTCAAAAATGAAGGTCAGCTGGAATTAGTTTTAAAAATATAAAAATTCAATATACGGTAAAATATATTCAATATGTTTCAATATAATATATTAAGGCATGGTCTCTCTGTTCATTTTGCACCACTATTGCCTGTTTTTGGTGTCTTGACAACTGAATATGTAGCAGTTTTTAAGTGATGAAGAGCTTGAGCAGCTCCATGTAAGGGCAATGCTTAATTTTACATGGACTGAATGCTGACGCCCTTCTAGATAAAGAAAGGAAGCAGCCCTACAGTCAGACACAACTCCCTCAACACTCCACCAAAACTCTACTGTGATTAAGAACTTGCAATACCCTAAAATGCCTGGCAATCGACAATTAGGCCACCATGGACACAATGGTAAGTGTATGAAAATAATTACTTTATATTTAAGCCCTACATGCGTGTTATACTACAGTACATGTTGCTTGAACACAACCAAATAATCTGATTGTGCGACTGGTGTTTGTAAAATAGGTCTTTGTTAACTTGGATCAAAGAAAAATCTGAAAAGCTTGTCGTTAAAATCAAATATGTATAAACGATTATTACTAACATTCTATGGAATCCTGGTTCCTATCTCAGTGAAGAACTAGGAAGTTTCTGGGTTTGGGCCAAATTCTGAGCTTAATGCTTCCTTCCTGATGGCCTCAAGATCTGAATTTCCTTAACTGCTTTCCTGTAAACCATTAAACAGCACTTTGCTTGTGGTTCAGATTACAAAAATAACAAAAACTAATTTTTTTAGGCCTGTCCAACCCTTGTCAATAACACAGCCACATCATCAAGCTGTAATTCACCAATAAATACACAAAATCAAACAAAAAATTCATATTCTACATGGATAGTAAGCTGTCACATCCTTTAAAGTCATCTCAGTGTAGATTTAAGAAAACTATTTATACTTTTGGGCCATTTTGTGCTTTTTCTTCCGTGGGAAGATTAAAATAACACAAAAAGGCTCAAAATTATAGTTTTCTCCTGCAATAAAAATAACACAATATTAGTGTGTGATATGCAACAAAACTGTTAAAATCTAAAGCAAATAGTGTTCAATGAGCTTTTAAGATGTAAATCTTCTGCTCTGAACTGCCCAGTTTATTAAAAAATGAATAAAATCAACAAACACATGAAAAGTAAAGACAATGGCTGTGCTGTGATTTAAGCTAAACTTCTTTGATAACAAGACCACAAAAATTGCAGAATGGGCACAGAAGAGCACAAATTCCTGAGTGTAGTGTAAGTTTTGGGGTTTAATAAGGAAAAACAAGCATAATACATGGCAATATGATATGTTTAAATGATAGAAAAGTTAAAGGTGCAGTAGGTAATCTGCCAGAATGCTGGCATTAGCGTAATAGCTTTTTTTACGACTCTCTCGTAATTAATTATCTCTTGTTATTAAACTACATATAAATCAGATCAGAGAAAAGCAGTGCTAAAGACAGAAATATCCTGTCATTTGTTTACATTACACCAGGGCCGGAGTGGGACTCCTTTTCAGCCCTGGAGTTTCAAGCCTATACCGGCCCACCTCAGTTCACTATATTACAATAACATCATTTCCAATGACACTATCACGTTTTTTTTTTTTTAAGAAAACAGCTGCTTTAGAACTTCAAATGTTCAACAACCCAAACAGTATTATATGTCTTAACAAAAAAAATGAAAAATTTACTCAGATGAGGTTAGAACTCGGGTCAGCGGTGTAGTAACGCAACGTGCTTACCACTGGACAACAATGGTGCTGTTATGCCAGACCGTTATGATCACTTAATCTTTTTCTCCCCTTTTTCAGATTTTATGGTTACGTCATTTTTATTAATGTAGTGAATCATCTGATTTTCATTGAGCAGGTGTAATATTCATTAATATTAATTATTCGAATTCTTATATGCACTAGGGTGCTGCTGTTTGGGATTGAATGAACGTCATCATTAACCTACAGGCTGCATTTTGCTCACCGGGCTGCGAGAAAGTAAATAAAAAGAGCGGAGCTGCCGCAAAATAATGAATAAAAAGAGTGAGGCAATGGTCAAATGAATGAATAAATGAATGAAAAAGTGTTACTGCTGAGAGTGCAAGCAGCTAGGGACACCGGCCCTCGTGGCCAAAAAAAAAAAACGGACCGGCCCACCAGGAATTCTCCTAGTCCTCCTGATTAGCAGATCTGGGCCTACATTACACTGATGTTTACGTTAACAAGACAAAGAGTAACTTTTCATGTTCAATTGTGCTCGCTGATCCTCGTACATTGCTAGTTTTCAGGTCCTTTTTCACTTGAACAACTGAATGAATGCTCAAGTCTATTTAACCAACTATATTATCAATGCTGTAAAAGGTTCTCCATGAACTTGAAAATAGCCAATCTTCTGCCGGATGATTTCAGTGGCTGAACAACACTTCTGTGCATATAAACCCATTCATAAACAAGAACACAATTACATAAGCTTTGCGTGGCTAAAATAGGTTTAACACATACCCGTCTAAATGTAATACTCCAGCACCCTTCAGATCATTGTTTTGAACTGCATAATGTCATTTCCCTCCAGTGTGCAAAAGTAATTTCAATATTGATTCAGGATTTAGAAAAGTTTTATTCTGCATTTTTGGCGGAAGCCCTTTCAGAAACAGAAATCTTTCTGTTCATGCATACAAGGCCATGCTGGTCTTTCAGAAAGTTCAGGTTGATGCAGAGTTAGCAGGATGACTGTCAGAGGTGGGTGTGGTGTGCTTCATGTGTGCGCATGAGTGACGCATCTGTCTGCTTAAAGAGGCTGCACAGAAATTCATGATTAAATTTGTTGACAGACAGTTTGAGATACCTGTCGTAATTGAGTTATTTGACGGTCCGACAATATTTAATTGGATGAAATGTGAAGAGACTTTTAACTAGTAAAACAAAAATGTCGTAACCAGCATCTTTAAATGACTGACAGCAATATTGAGAGATGGAAAGTACTTAACTTATTTCCCAAGAATTGCTAAAGTATTGGTTGGTATGTAAACACTGCCCTAACGAAATCTGCTGCCTCAAAGATAAACTGGATGTTTACATGTACTGAAGACAAAATGTTGACCTTGTCGATGTTGACGAAATTTCATTGTACTTGGCCATGATCACCCTTCATAAAATACAAATTTAAGTGGTCTCAAGAGATGAAAATCCCAAAATAGCAACATAAAATGTTGCATTACTAATATTCTAATGTGTATAAAATTGCATAAATTGTGTTGTTGTAAATATCTGTGTTTTTGCTGCCACTGAATTACAGCTCATTAAATGTATTTACAGATGAAGACGATGACATACTTTATACCAACGAGCTGTGGGGTGGAAGACATCCTGGAGTTTTCAAAATTTCAAGTGAGCTCAATAAAAATTTACTCAAAAAGGAAACATGGAAATGCAAAAGGCGAGTTACAAAGAAGCCAAAGATGAAACTGGTGTCAGCTGGAGTTGAAATAGGTGAAACCGTGAAAATAATTGACACGATCGACAGAGAACCAAATGCCTACACAGAAGGCACGTACGCTCGACATAAAGGATATAAGGCAGGTCTTAAAAATGAGCCAGGCCAGAGGATTCCCAAGGCTGGGTATTACGCAGAAGCAGGAGTTGGACGAGCTCGAGCTGAATGCAGTGTGTTTGAGGCTGAAGCTAAAGGCCCCAATGCATCAATTGGAGCTGAAATCAGTGTGGTTGGAGCAGGAGCAATGGCTCGAGCTGAAATCGCCAGCGCATCAGCTAATGCCGGTCCACTCGGTGTCAAAGTGGGACTTGGACTCGATACGGGTGCATCTATTGGTGTGGATGGGGTGGAGGCAAAATTCCTGGGAACAGGAGTCTCAATCGGTCCAAAAACCAGTGTGTCTGCTCTGGGTTCAGAAGTGTCATGTTCAGTCATGTAGAAACATAATAAGAACAGGACTCTACCTGTAACAATGCAATAAAGTTCAACCTGAATGAGAACAAAATGACTGAAGTCCACAGAAGTGTGCTACAGTGATTTCTTTAGATCAGTCATGTCAAACTCAATTCCTGTAGGGCCGCAACCATGCACAGTTTAGTTTCAGCCCTGCTTCAACACACTTACTTGTAGGTTTCAAACAGGACTAAAGCACTCAATTAGTTTGATCAGGTGTGTTTAATTAGCGATGGATCTAAACTGTGCAGGGCTGGGGCCCTCCAGGAATTGAGATTGACATCCCTGTTCTAGATAACTGGATCATCCCAAATTCCACTCATTTACTATTTTATGACATTTTTTAGTATAAATAGTATCAGTAGGGCTGCACAATCAAAAAAAAAAAAAAAAAAAAAAAATCGCAATCTCGATTCGACCTTACACACGATCCCAATTCAGCTTTTCTGTGATTCAGACATTTATATTTTCAAGGTCAGGAGAGAAGTGTGAAGGCAGTCGCACAAGTCTTCACATTGTTTTATATACGGTGCTTAGTAACATGGCCACCTCCAAATGGTGTTAAAAGTGTCACATCCTGCATTTATAAGGTATAATTCAACCCAAAATGTAATTTCTGCCTTAATGTAATGATGTATTTGCGGCCGCAAAATCACACGAGCTGAAGGACTGTTTGCCCACCAATGATGTCTACTTTAGTTAACAGAACCTGCATAGGCTGTGATTAACAAGTATTAAAGCTTTGAATAACGTTCAGCTTGTAGCACAGAGCAATCGTTAGGAAGCAGTGCGAAGTAGGATGTGCATTATTGTTTTTTTTTTCTCAGTGTGACAGCAGCCATGACATGTACTACACTCTGCAGTGAAAGTGAAACCAAAAGCACTTATTTAAATGATCATATCGCATTTGAGTTATAATTACGACAAGCATTTGATATATTTTTTCTTTCATAGCGAACACAAAGTGTTGTGCATGCAAATACATGTTTACTGAGTCAGTAAACTATAACTACTCTATGTAAAGTTAAATATGATGCAAGGGGCAATCTGATAATGGCAAATGTCTTGTTTTACCAGTGAAATAAAATGGTCTGATAATGTTGTCAATAACAAATGACAAGCATATGTCTGAAACATAATAATTCACCTTTATCATTATTAATAGTTGTATATACAAAAATGTAGCATTTTACCCAACATTACAGCTACACATAGGCCTAATATTATTATTATTATTATTATTGTATTACCATATGTTTGAGAAATAACAATAATAGCCTACTCATATTAACCTTTATTTTACATCTACAGAATCAGGAGAAAATCGTGATCTTGATTTTAAGAAAAAACATCCTTTTTTTTCATTTAACCAGAATCCAGGAGTATCAGTAGTGCATTCACACTGAAAAATAAGTGTACTTTAAATACCTGGATGATGCCCTCATTCAACGGTTAAAAATAAGTGTGGAATGCTGAATGTTCACAGGTTTGCTCATGTAACAGAAGAGGCAGAGCTATCGGGCATTGATGTTGGATTACTTTATTTCTTTTGGATTGTGAGAGCAAAATTCTCTCACACAACTGATTATTCCACCTTCTGATGGGTGTACTTGTAACAGATCCTATTTGGTAGTTTATCGCACTAATTTGGTAACTGTTTAACATTTTCAGGGAAAGTTAGACTAAACAGTACTTTGAGTGCGCAAGTGTATGGAGTATTGTTGTCATTTGGGATGCAACTAAAATTCTATATTACACAATTGAAATTCTAAGGAGTGTAAAGCTGGAAGAAACTACTAATTAAAGTACTGTTTTTATGCTTAAAGATGTGGGTCCTTTTTTATGTATTTATTGCTGTTTCATCTGTTGAATCATTAACCTGACTGGATGGACGGGCCACATTAGAAGCACTGCTACTAAAACAAATGCTTAAGAACAAATCTAATGTCTCAGAGGGTGTTTTCAATTGCTGTTGTTTGAGGCATTAATAACATGGCATCAGTTGCATCAAAGTATTGGCATGATCCTATCAAAAGAGATTTATAAAGGGGGATTTATCAATTTTGTGGGAAAACTGAAAACCTGTAACCATTGACTTTAATAGTATTTGTTTTTCATATTAGGGAAGTCAATGGTTACAGGTTTACAACACTCTTCAAAATATTATCTTAAGCGTTTAACAGCATAAAGAAACTCATAAAGGTTTACAACCACTAAAGAGAACTACTTCATTTTTTGGTGTAATACCTCTAAGTTTTCATTCATGATAGCTGTTCCAGCATATCTCAGTCCGCCACTGGAGGGCGTCACCTTCACTGCGCTATTCGATTGAAATATCTGGGAGTGTGTTTCCAGAAGTTGTCTCTAAGAGGAGCCTGTACTCTTCAGTGACTTATTTTTGTTCGTTCTTGAATTAAGTATCAGCAGGAATAATATGGATAAAAATGTGCCACACAAAACTGTTTGCTTATCTACTTTTCCTTTAAATCTTGCCATAATGTCTCCAAAATAGCATCTGATACACAGAGAGCTTTAAAGTGAAACTGAATATAGTCATTTCAAAATAAAAATACAAATGTCACAACACTCAAACACAATTAAACCATCCACAAGTTTAAATGCTTAATGAGACCATCTTTTTTATTTAACTTATTTTTTGGCACAAGCTTGAATCTATGTTACTAAAACATCTCTACAGACAAGCTTTTAAGTTAATGAGTTGAAAGCTGCAGTTTATGAAAATGTAAAAATATGATTAAGTACAGTATAAATAATGATTTACAAAAACATGCCACAAGTGCATAATAAGGCATAAGCAAGCAAGCAAGCATGTATTATTGACCGCAGGTCCATTCAGACACACTGATGTGACAGCACACGTTTGGGGATATAATCATTTCCTGGCACTGCAATGACAATGAAAGAGCAGGTCATAGTCTGAGGAAACAGACAAACAAGAAAACAGCAGAAATGAATACTTCTTTTTCTGACCAAGTAGAAATTTCAACATTAGTGCAAATATGCTAAATAACAAAAAAGGTTTGCAAAAATAATATAAAAAAAACACATTATGTAAACTCATTTACATGCTAAATATTATATACTTTTATTTTATTGTACAGAATGCATAAAACACTGTTATGTGTTAAATGCTAGCATTATCAATGTAAACACGATCACACTTGCATTTATTTACATGCAAAATACTTTTTCACAGATTTTTTTTGTATGGAGAAAATGCAACACATTATATGTTACTATTCAACTAAAAATATAATGCAATAATAGAAAGAAAGAAAGAAAGAACAGAAAGAAAGAAAAAAATTCATTTATATGCGGAAATATTACAATTTTAACAAAGCATTTTATGGAAAAACTGAGAAACATTCATTAATTTATATGCAACATTTTTTTCGATTTCATTTAATAATCTTGATTTAATTAATTTTATTGGGAAAAACTGGCTTAAAAATATTAAATACAAAATATTTGTATTTAATTTATAAAAGAATTTATCACACAAAATATAAATAGTAAAAATTGCATTTGTTTTATTTTATTGGAAAAAACAAACAGAAAATATGATCAATTATTCATTAATTTGCTAAATATTTAATTTCATTTAATTTAATAAACTATTTATTTTATTACACAAAATGTAAATAAAACAACAAACAGAAAATATTATCATTCATTAATTTATATGTTAAATATTTGATTTCATTTCATTTATTAAACTATTTTTATAACAAATGTAAATAGTAAAACAAATAGTTTTTTATTGGGAACTAGAAAATATTATCATTAAACAGGGAATATTATTATTCATTAATTTATATGCTAAATAATAAATTTTTGATTTCATTTTTAAACAATTTATTTTATTACTCAAAATGTAAATACATACCAATATCCATTCATTATAATTAGGCATAATCAAAAATCTTTAAAATGCATATGCCAAAAATGCATGTGCATAACCAAAACACTACTCATTTCACAAAGAAGCATTTCATAATCCTTAAAGTGCATGCAATTATAATAATTATTCTCTGCATTTCTTACCTCAGCGTTATCCTGCACAGCACATTGTGTGAGATTGACATTCTCTTGATTCCTGCAGACCGTCTGTGCTGCTTCAATCTGTATGGTGTATTTCACCCGTGCAGGAGGATAAAGCTGCAGCAAACACATTATCAGCACAAACACACCACAACAATAAAATCATCTGTTACAGTAAAACAAACACGACACATACCTGAGCAGCATCTGATAAGATATTCACCACTTTAAAGGCATAAGTGTAGTTGCTCATGCGGTTGTGGAAGTTCATAGCATAGTTTGCCACGTTAACGACATCACGGTTGTCATTCAGTGCCATGTGTCCGGTGACAATAAGAGCTGAAGAAATGCATGCAAACACAGTGAGAATGCAAACCATCTCGGCAGGTGGTGATCTGTGGGAAGAAAAGGCAGAGAGAGTCATCTGAGTGTATCAGTATGACATATATACGGTCATAAAACACACACACACATGCTTCATCTCACCTCAGCGTCACTGAAGAGCGTCTGTGTGTGTGTGTTTCTGCATCTTGCTGACGGACAGACGCTCACGCTTCAGTTCATTTCACTGACACATCAAAAACGTGCAGGATTTTCTTCTTAGACGAGCACAGAAATCATCCATAATCTCTTATATTGCAGCTGGAGAGACGTGTGTGTGTTTGCATCATCTGCCAGGTCACATGACCAGACTGTTGCATGCTTCAGGACCCACGCTGAGCTGTCCATAAATAACTCCTGATGAAAAACTCTGTTCCCTTAATACTCTGTCTTACTTTAATACAGACAGTTTAATGATTTTAGATGGTGTGAACTGGATCGACTGGTCTCGAGTACACAAGAGAAACAAACCAAACAAGTCTGCTCAGTATAATAAGGGAGAAATCGAGCAGATCATATTTATCACTTGATCACACATTGTAAGTCGCTGGTTTAATAAATAGATCCGAGTTAATAATATGTGATAGAATAATCCACTTTTGGTCCAGTAATAAGCTGCAATTTTACTGGTGTTATCTGTGAGGCTGAAATTAAAGTCTGCTGTAACTTTAAAAAAACACTTCCTTACCTTTGAGTTTCTGTTAACCATTTGTTTCTGTGACTGTTTGAGCTGTACGTTACAGAATGATCATCCTGACGTCTGAAGAACTCAAACAAGCTGAAAGTGTTTTGAAGAACTTTTTTCCAGAGTCCATTAAGGTGTGGAGATTGTTTAAGAAAGTTATTTTTCTTGTCCTCATTTGTAAGTCACTTTGGATGTAAATGTAAATGTATTTTTTATACACTGTGATAGTTAACCGATCGGATCACCGTCGAAGTGCTTTTATTTTCACTCAACAGCTCAAGAGAAGTTAATAATTGCTTGTTTTCCAGGTTTATGGCTGTATATTCAACATTAACAGAGGAAAACCTCACAATCTGGAGGTTATTGCAGATCTGTGGCCAGAATTCACAGTCATTATTTGCAAACCGAAGGTTCAGGTAATATCAGATTACAAATCCAGTCGCTTTTAATGATTATACCCTCAAAAAAATTATCATAATGAGTGTAATAATGGATATAAACAAACAAAAACAAAATCTCAAGTTAAAGTAAAACAAAAATACTCAAAATATTTTTAATATTAGTATTAAACTGAAAACATAAAAACAGAAGGTAAAAATCAACAATACTGTAGATATTCTACAGTACTGCATTAATACTTTATTAATAATTTATTAATCTATAAACGCTCATTTTAAACTAGGTTAATTTTCAATTTAAATTTACAAAAAAATATTTTATATAGTGTTGTTCCTAATGTCGCAAAAAATATTCAAACATTGATAAAGTAAACGTTTTCAAATAATGATCAATGATATATCAATAATTAATTCAAGATAAACAGAGGAAAACCTCACAGTATGATGGTTTTTGCAGACCTGAGGTCAGATTTCACTGTCATTATTTGTGAAGCGAAAGTTCAGGTAATATCATATTAGAAATTAAGATGTTTATTATTATTATACCCTCACGAAAATGAGCCATGCTGTTACTAAAAGCAGAGTAACAATGGTATTTTGAATAAAACCAAGTCTTAAGTAAGAGTGAAACAACAGGAAGAAGTTGATGCAGAAAGCACAGAAACTCCATTGAAAAAACTGGAGTAAAATAAATATTCATATTTTTAAAAGAAATGGCAGGGAAAAATGTCATTTAATGAAGTGTTTCTTGTACATTCTGAGACTCACTTTATATTGTAGATCAGTGGTTCTCAAACTTTTTTCATCAAGTACCACCTCAGAAAAAAAATTGCCTCTCCAAGTACCACCAAAATGAGCAGTATTGAAATACAGTAGCATAGTAGGCCCAGTAAAGCAGCTACAACTTGGCACAGTTAAAAAAAAACGTGGCAGATTAACTCAGAAATATAGGCTATATGTCATATGTGGCATATTATATACATAATTTTTTATAAATTTTTAAATATATGTAGCATGTACAAGACATATTTCATTCCTCCGCGTACCACTAGAAGGAAGCCCGCGTACCACTAGTGGTACACGTACCACAGTTTGAGAACCACTGTTGTAGATCAATCGGGCAGTGAAGATCATAACAGACCTTAAACGTGCAGAATTATGATTATTAGCCCCCTGAATCATTCACCCCATCCCCCCACTCCCCCGTTTATTTTCTTATTTTATCTTTGCTCTGATTACAGTAAATAATAATAGACTAGATATTCTTCAAGACACTTCTATACAGCTTAAAGTGACATCTAAAGGCTTAACTAGGTTAATTAGGTTAACTAGGCAGGTTAGGTTAATTAAGCAAGTTATTGTATAATGATGGTTTGTTATGTAGACTATCGAAAAAAATATAGCTTAAAGGGGCTAATAATATTGACCCTAAAATAGTTTTAAAAAATTAAAAACTGCTTTTATTCAAGCCGAAATAAAACAAATAAAGACTTTCTCCAGAAGAAAAAATATTATCAGACATACGGTGAAAATTTCCTTCCTCTGTTATACATCATTTGGGAAATATTATGTAAAAAATGTAATTACATATTTAAACTGAGCTTGAACTGAGCATGAATATGAATTTATGTATGATGATGTACGAGTATGATGAGGTATGAGTATGATGATTCCTAAATCGAGCCTTTTATAAAGAGTTAAATTAATCGTTTTTTGCTGGTCTAAATTTTTTGGTTCCAAAAAACATATATTAAACTGTACACATTCCCACATTGTGGCAGGGTGTAAAGAATCGAGAGGGAGATTTTAACATATACAGCATCTACTCAAAGAGCAAAGACAGTTTAAAAAGCTTTCTGGACACACCTGGTGTGATAAATAAAGACGCCTTCACGTTACTGGCAGGTAGACGCTCTTTTCTGCATTCAATTCATTTTCAATTAGGGGTGTCACGATTTCGATTTTTAATCGAAATCGATCGAAATTTATGCTCAATTTCGATTATCGAATCAAAAAATAGAATCGTCGATGCTGCCACGCCCCCATGTTACGTCAGCTTGGCTTGCCAAGTGGGAAAAAAACAGGCTTGTTGAAGTGCTTGTTGAACTGCAGAAGCAGGAGACCCGTCGACAGAACTTAAACCCTCTCCTCTTTCAATGAAGTCGCCGGTGTGTAAGCATTTTGGATTTCCAGTGAGTTATGTTGACGATGTTCGTGTTGTCGACAAAAAAACACAGTTTTGCAAGCTCTGCTATGTACGTATTACATACGGTTCGTCCGATAGACAACACCGGCATCGCGATCCTCCGCCCGCCCCCCGTTGCAAATCCGCTCGCAAAAAGTTCACACTCAGGCCCTGTTTACACTGTCTGTTTTTAAATGGCATTTTAGAACGACGATTTGACATCCACAGTGGCGTGTAGCATTTCTGAGCAGCCCTCCTTCCTCACTACCTCTGAAAATGCACATCACGTGACCACACAGACACAGACGCACACACAGCCATGCGCTTGAGACAGCAGGTCCAGGCAGGCAGAGGACTGCTTCAATCTTTCACTCACTTGTACTTTGTCATTTTAGTGAACACCTCAGATACTGTTGGCTGGTTCCTGTTGGTTGTGCGTCTTTTTTACCGACGCCATTATAACGACACAGATCACTGCCTATTCACGAGTCCCGCAGAAAAAAGTGATTGACAGGTGGTAATTATGTGTGTATCTTGCCTTTATTCATTTACTGTATGTTTATGTACTGTATGATTTGTTTATGGGTAAAACAAAAACCATGCAGGTCAGGTAGTTTAAACGGTAGGCTACAAATAATTAATTGGTCATTAATTAATTATTCAGAATCGAAAACTAATCGAATCGTGCCTTTAGAATCGAAAATGTAATCGAATCGAGGATTTGGAGGATCGTGACACCCTTATTTTCAATACAAGTTTCGTGGCTGTGACAGAAATGAAACATTCTCAAACCTGTTGGCTGATACACAGGTGTTGACATCAGGCATTTAGGAGCGGTTCAGGAGTTTGCGGATCAGCATGGCATTCCCTCCAAAGTCCAAGGAGTGATGAACGTCTTGGTGCTGCAGGATCAACAACAGCTGCAGTTTAAGGACAGGTACAACCTAACATTCCTCTTTTTCAATATAGTAAAAAAAATACTTGTCATTTATAGTAAATCCTATAGTGTTTTGAACCTACAGTAGAACCTGAAATAATCTGTGTTGGTAATTCTATAGTTGCTTTAATATAAACAATATTAACAACATAAAAACAATATAAACAAGTTTCACACACATATACACTACAGCCAGTTTAGTTTATTCAATTCACCTATAGCGCGTATGTTTGGACTTTGGGACTGTGGGGGAAAACAGAGCATTTGGAGGAAACCCACGCGATCACGGGGAGAACATGCAAACTCCACACAGAAATGCTAACTGACCCAGCCGAGGCTCAAACCAGCGACCTTCTTGCTGTGAGGCGATCGTGTTACCCACTGCACCACCGTGATGCCACATGTCAAACTAAATAATTCAAATAAATCATTGACTTCTGCTGTCTTCGTTAGTTTCAAAAACACAGATTTCTACACAATTTAAAATGGCATCTTTGGATATCTTTTCTGATGGAGATACTGTCGTCCTAAAAGATTTTAATAAAAATCTTACATTTAGAAAATCTATACTATAGGAACTGTATTACAGAATATTTTGGTGATTTTAAAACCTTTACTTTTCCAAACCACGGTATACTACCTTGAAAACAGTTATTGTCCCATGCCTACGTGTGAACTGAATTTGGTGAAAATACGGTGTGTTACATTGAAGTTATTAAATATTTATCATAAGAAATATTCATAATAATTATACAAAATAGTTTTTTAACTAAGTGTTGTAGTAAAATAAGCAGGACAGCAGTGAGGTGTGAACTGAATTTGATGAAAATACAGTGTGTTACAATAAAGTAACTGAATATTTATCATAATTAAAAATCTGAAAAAATATGCAAAATAGTTTTAAACAGAAGAGTTGTAGAGTAAGCAACAGGACAGCAGTGATGTGTGAGCTGAATTTGGTGAGATGACAGTGAATTACAGTATAGTTATTTAGTATTTTTGATAATAAAAATTCATTTAAAAATATGCAAATTTGTATTATTATTTGTTTATATATAACCAGCGGGACAGCTCAGCTGTGATGTGAACGGAGTTTTATGGAAACGCGTATAATGTATTAGAGGGACGTTGTTGACAGTTTTTTTAGTAAAGGTTTTCGCGTTTTGCTCTTTGTAGACGGTCCCTAAGGAGTGTTCTCTTCGCCGCCTGCGCATCGAGATCAATATGCGTCCAGCACAAATGAAAGCTCGTTTTGAGAGAAAAAATATAATGTTTAAGTTGATTGTATAACGTTACACTGCGACCGTACGGTTGAGAAGATGTGCTATATTTGTGTAGGAACAATGTTTCGGTCACCATGAGTTATTGATCCGGAAAATACGAATCTGTTGCTAACTAAGTTGTCAAACCTCAAACTTGAGCGAGATTTCCTTCTTGGTGACGTTGCAAGGTGTTGAACTTGAGCAGATTTCCCGACCTCGGGGAACGGGGAGTAGTGAACAACACTACGTAGGGTGTTGATCTGCACGAAGCCTAAAACAGTTCGTTATTAAATTGTGTTACGTTACGTGAACGCGCTGGGCTCGAACGCAACGGTCAAACCCGTCACTCGACCGCGTTTACAAGGGAAAATAAACATTAAAGTAACACAGTGGGATTCCCGTGAATATGAGTAAGAGTAACCTAACGTTATCACGTGTTAGCAAATTACTGAATTGGACAGACACAAAATCCCCGCGGAATATATTTAACAGTCAGTGGTTTTAGTTTTTAAGACGAACGCCATTTATTGACGTCGATTTGAGTGAAAAAAATGACAAATTTCTTACCTTTATAATCCAAAACACCATTCAAGATTATTTTGACAGCACTCAGCAGTATAAAATGTTAAGCCAGCTACAGTAACATGTCATGAAGACCCAACAGTCAACACTTACTCTTCTAGCTTTATGACAACTGACTGACTAAAAGCATAACGGTCAACGCTAAACGATCGCTACGCTGCTAGCTTTCATATTCAAGTTAACAGACCACGTGATGCGGTTCTCCAATCAGGGCACTGCCTCTGTGAATAAGCAAATGACCCCATATCAAACATGAACTAAAATAAATTATCTACTATTGAAGTAACCTCGGCATTTTTAAAGTGACGTTTACTCCCCAAAATACTGTAAATTTATAGACGACTTTCAGGCCATCCAATGAGTAGGTATTTTTTCCCATTTTTTATCTAAAACTGTGGTCATTAGTTATTATGAAAATGCTGAACACTTAGAAAATGGACATAGCCTACAGACAACACTAAATTATTATTATTAGCCATGATGAGGCATGGCAGGAGTGGACTTCATGATGGAAAGACAGTGGATTAAAGCTAATAATGTAGTTTTCTTTCATAGTTTGTTTTAATAGGATCTCAGTGAATCACATGTATTAATATACATGATTTTCGTTTTATTTTACTTTATTAGTGGACACTAGCTTAGTTTTCATCCAAAGATGTAAATTAGTTTTATGAGCAAAACTGGAATACTGCACAGAAGATTTGCGAATAAAGCAGCGTTTCAATTCAATGAGTTGAAGAGAACTAAATCGTCACTTCCTGACAAAACAGGAGCGAATAAAATAATTTAAAAATGTTTATTCAACGGTAGAAGAATCAACTGTGTGCCTTTTTTTAATATAATAAATTACTTGTACCTCAGAAACTGAGAACAAAACGCAATGAATTTGGATAGAATTTTCCACTAAAAGTGTTTCCATCATAGTTTATGCACATTTTTCTTCATATCTCATTGTAATTTATACAATTGGGCAAAATCTTGGCATTTCCACTAAGCATTTAATACAATATTGCAAAATGCACACAAAAAAGTGGATTGAAACATAGCTATAGACTTGCATTATTAACCTACAGACCAAAACTGGTAACTCACTTATACTAAGCAGGGCTGAGCCTGGTCAGTACCTGGATGGGAGACCACAAGAGAAAACTAGGTTGCTGTTGGAAGTGGTGTTAGTGAGGCCAGCAGGGGGCGCTCACCCTGTGGTCTGTGTGAGTCCTAATGCCCCAGTATAGTGTAGGGGACTCAATACCATCAGTGGGCTCCTTCTTTCGAATGAGACATTAAAGGGTCACAAAACACATGTTTTGAGCTGTTGACAGTGGTATATGTGTCCCACACTGCTAAAAACACTATTAGGACACCTATATTTCACTAAAAAGTGTAAATTGGTTGTTTTTGCGTTATTTCAAGCAAATTCGTACTTCCGGTTTGAAACTAATTTTTGAAGCTGCGTCACGGTCATGAGATAATAGCGTGTATTCCAGCGTGCAGACTGGACGTCTGTGCCAGAGTGTGTCTTATTACGTCTTACAGTGTGTTGCATTAATGCATGAGTAAGGCTTGGTTCAAACCAATCAGCGCGCTCTTTTGTGCAACTTCATTAATATTCATTACTGTCACAGTGTTTAGACGACAGAGACGCCACGTTGTGTTGGCAAAACAAGTGTGAAGTGTTGCTTTTATAGTTTGCTGCAGTGAAGTTTTGTTTTCATTTTCTCTCTGTGAGAGCGCAGCTGAAGTCACGTGTGGATTAACAGTGTACGCGACGCTCGACAACAATAACTTACGTGTCTAAGGAGGAACATTGTTTACCTGAGAGCTGTTCTCATCTGCAAATGCTGAAATCTGAATTCGCTTGTAGTCTCCTCTTAATAAAGACGCGGCTCTAGTTGCTGGTGATTGTCCTGTCTCTACAGATTTGGTAAGTGAGCGACCAGTGCTCTTTGTTTATTCAGTTTGTTCGTATCAAACTAAGTTAACTATTGCACCGAGTGTAAACATGTTAGCACTACAACCAAACTTTAACCTCGTGTAGGATTTTCACCACATTTAGTGACCGGAATAACACACGCGGCTTTCTGACACTCCCTGCTGTGTGCATCTAAGTTTCCGGGAAATGCTGAGGTTTTTTTCTCTCATTTGCCGTGCGGTATCAAACATTGCATGAAAAATACACGCTTAGAGCAGTTCCTCGAATCAAATATCTCGTTTGTCGCGAGGGGCATGAATGAATTCGTGAATGAAAGAGCCAAACTGCAGTTAAAGTCCACCATTTAATAATTTGGCAAATAATTCGACTACAGATGTCCATGTAGGTTAAACACCATCACTTTCTCATGTGTGTGTATTTTGACTCTGAAACTCGCTCGTGCCCAAATACACACTCCCACACCCTCCCACATTAGTTCCTCCGACACTCCCCCCTAAACAGAGCTGGACACGCCCACTTTGCTGACTTTTTCCAAAGTAGAGGTGTGAAAACATTCTGCTAAAATGAGGGGGTTTCATGGCCCTTTAAGCCGAGGTCCTGACTCGCTGTGGTCATTAAAAGCCATGGCACTTCTCGTAAAGGATAGGGTAGTATCCCCAGTGTCCTGGCCAAATTCCCTTCATCAGCACTTACCTATCATGGCCTCCCAATCATCCCCATCCACTGAATTGGCTCTGTCACTGTCTCTCCACTCCACCTATAGCTGGTGTGTGGTGAGTGCACTGGCACCGTTGTGCTGTGGCTGCCGTCGCATCATCCAAGTGGATGCTGCACACTGGTGGTGGTGTGGAGAGACCCCCCCCTCATGATTGTGAAGTGCTTTGGGTGTATAGCCATACATAAAAATGTGCTATATAAATACACACATTACATTACGTTGCATTTTCTGAACAAAACAAAAAAAAAAACAGTTAAAAATCTTCTTCAATGTTATACTGAGGAAAAAAGTCACCTATGCATCTTGAAGCCCTGACAGTGAGTAGATTAAATAAATGCATACATTTTGAGTGAACTATCCCTTTATTTCAAACGTAAAGAAGCCAGTTTTCTCATGTCTTTTCAGACATGCTGGCCTCAGTTTTGCTCCTCTCAGCACGGCTCATGCACATCTGGTGAACAGCACATGGAAGTACGGCGGAGACAGCAGCAGCTACAACTCGGTGCTGAACTACATTTCCCATAATCCTTCACTGTGTGTGATCGAGGAGGGCCAGACGGAGCCCGTCTCCTGGCTGCTCGTGTATCCTCATGCTGCTCTCGGTTTGCTCTACACATTACCACAACACCGATGTAAAGGCTACGCCAGGCTGCTGGTGTCCATCATGTCCAAGAACCTCCTGGAACAAGGACACCCGGTCTACTGTTTTGTGGAAGAAGAAAACAAGCCTTCCTACAAGCTTTTCACATCTCTAGGGTTCCAGAATTCACCAGATTACAGAGCTGTGTGGTTCGAGCTCAATAAACAACAGGTCAGGGATGAATAATGCAGGAAATAAATATATTAGTTACTTAAAGGGGAACTATTATGCAAAAATCACTTATAAACACTTTTAAATTGTATGAATATACAATTATATCATTTGTATTATAATTATATTGTATGAATATATCGGTTTCTAATAGTAAAAATGTATAAAGTGTATGTTTTATAATCAGACTTGATGTAAACAGTCTGCAGAAACACTTTGATTGACATCCTCCCTTTGTTCGTGTCATCAGAGGGGAAAAGCCCCGCCCACTAGAGGCCATCTCTCCCTCATAAGCATAAGATGATAGTCTTGTTTTTTAATCTGCCACTATACTGACACATAGGCGTTTATAGCTCCGCCCTCTTCTGGAAAGAGCACAATCTCATTTGAATTTAAAGTGACAGCCTAAAAGAGTCAGTTTCAGAGAGGTAAGGCTGACTTATACTTCTGCGTTGAGTGACCCACGGCATGTTCTTTGCTTATAGCCATGCATTTACACTTCTGCGTGCTGTTTGTGTTGCTCTGCAATAACACTTCTGAAATGTTAGCTGGCAGTGAGGTTATGCTCCTCTGTGTCGAGTCTATATAAAATACTAAGATTTTTAGAAATCACCAAGCGACTCCCCCCCACATCCCACCCCAAATATCTCACGACCACCCAGGGGTCCTGACCCCTACTTTGAGAACCACTGATCTAGTGGGTTGTCTACTGTAATCTTTACGGTGCACGTTCGTGATTTCAGAAGGTGTAGCTTTTGAGTAGCAAGAAAGGGACTGTGTTTGATATTATGCTATTATGCATTTTGGCAGTTTACCTACTGCATTTTTAACAAGACCTTTGGAGATTTTAACAAATATTTGTAATTTAACGTAATTAGCATATTTCAAGTTTAACCAGTTAAACTCTGCTGCTATTTTGGGATTTCCGCCTGGATTTTGCCTACCCAAATTTAAAAGCGTCCCAAATCCACATGCAGAGGTGTAAATGCAAAAATTTGGTTTTATTTGAAAGAAAACCCTTTGAATTTTCATAAAACACTATTGAAAGTGTTTAAAATATCTGTATATGTCGTCTGTGTTAAAATAAACACCTAAAAAAAGAGGCGCTTTTTGTATTTTTTTTTTATAAACTCAAATTTGAAAGTGTACCTTTTAGGTTCTGTGTGGTCTAGCGTGCTGTAATTAATGTTGGTGGTTCCTGCACATGTCTGTAATCTTAGGAGAAAAGAAAAATGTCTCCACCATAATCTATGCAAAAGTTATTGTATTCCAACTGATGAGAGGTGCTGTACAAGCCACAGGGAGCGATCATTGTTTTCATATTTCACTATTCTTTTGTTTGATCAAACATAATTCACTGTGTTTGGACCACATCAGACATATAAAAGGATTACTTATGCACATCACCTCACAAACAGAGGAGAATGGCCCTGAAGTGCACTGCATAAGGTGAGAGATGACAGCTGTCTGTGCTATCTGGGGCTGCTTATTGATCATAAATGCATTTTTTTCGCTTCTGCGCCAAGGAAACACCGTGATTCATTCAGCAACTGTTTGATATGTGAATATAATTCAGTAAAAGAATGCTAGAACCGTATGAGCATCGCAAAGAGCTTTCATTTGAGCTATAACTTGTACATGTGTCATATGAAAAATATGAAAATGAACCAATGTTCAATACCCAGCTCGGGTATCCAAAATACTGTTTATTTAAGTGTAAATAACTTTTGTACAGTAGAATAAAAACCAAAGTGATGCATATGTGCATAAAATATAGATTCTACACTTTCAAACGAAACCACTTACGGGGGTCTGGTGCAATTCTAGCCCTTTAAATCTTAAAGCGAAAGTTGATGATGTCACGGACCCGGTACCGCAGAGTTTAACTGGTTAAGTTATTCAAGTATTTATACTTTAAGAAGCATGAACAATAACAACAATGCATATAAATCTTAGTTTTATTGTGTACCTCCTACATTAGAGTACTATAAAACAGTACAAAGCTTATATAATGTAGAAATCACTCCTAATATACTAAAAAACTGTACAAAACCTGGATAAAACCGTACACAGATGAAACATTTACATTTATAAAGTTAACAAAATAGCATCTCATTCTTCCCTTTGTCATAAAGCAAACATTAGACCTATGCTAATCTGTTTATGCTATGCGGTGAACATTCCCGAAACGTTTTTAAAGATCCATAAACAAAAATAAAGACCTAAAAGCTCCTGAAACGCCTCTAAAACTGAGTGTTGCTATGTAAAAAGTCCCAATCTACACATCTGCAGTGAGCACAACAGGTTATCCCGCACATCTGAAGCCAGTTAATACAATAAATAAAGCTGAAATTACATGTTAAAGGACTCTCACATTCAGGTCCGTCCACAGGTTCAAACCCATTTTAAGGCAAGAAGGTCTGAATGACGATAGCATATCCATAGCACTTTGGTTCAGTTTTTCAGACACAGCGTTGCCAGATCCCTTTAGATTACTCCGTCAGATGTGTCTCCGGATGAAGAGATTCATTGACGCATGAGTCAGTGGCAGGAAAAGGGTTAAAGTGGCGCTGCGAGTGGAGCTGAAGGCATCAGGTGGAGGCTGCAGCTATGAGTCCTTCACTCGGGTGGAGGTGCTGATGATGGAGATCTGCTTTGCATATTGTGTGTGCTGTGCAGTGCAGTGAGCTGACGGCTGGAGGCTCCTCGTCACCTGATAATATAAAACACACAGATCATTATTAAAGAGTAAAGCCTGGTGCAGATGCAAACTAATACCTGCACTTATAGAGAAAATTCAAGTGCTGTAAAATGAAATGCCTTAATGGATTGTGGGGGAAACCGGAGCGGCGAGAGGAAACCCACGCAAACACAGGGAGAACATTCAAACTCCACACAGAAACACCAACTGGCACAGCTGAGGCTCGAATACATATAAAATAAAATATGCATTTGGCAAAAACATGAAGTTGAAATGTCAAAAAATTAAGCTTTCAATAAGATTTAGCTTGACCGCAGTACCAAACAGGACCACCGCATGACCTCCAGTTCTCATTGACGATCAAACAAGGCCGTCCCCAATGTTTTAAGGAATATGAACTGTTAAGTAATAATTGTTAAGTACAATCCTAAAGCAGGATGGCAGACATCCAAACTCTCCCAGAAGTTCCAGGAGTCCCCCACAAATGCATAGAGACTCCCGGATGCCCACAAACGAATGATAATCTCCCGGAAATCATGTGTCATTAAACACGTCATTATATAGTCTCCACCGCATCCCTCCTAGCTCTTCAGGTACATCGAGCGCAACTCAACCCCCCCGCTCTTCAGGTTCATCGCACGCACACACCCTCACCGCTCTTCAGATTCAGCGCCCGCACATGTACCACCGCTCTTTAGGTACCCACTCCCCCGTGACCACCCGCAAATCATCTCTGTGTCCCCCGAAAATACCTTTCCCCAACTTGGGATGTCTGGGATGGGGAATTTGGTGGTATTTAAGTTGAATTAAGCCTCTAAAAAACATGCAAACTAATTTTTACATGTGGATTGCTGTAGCGAAGTAATGCTTTACAATCGAGTATCCTTATAGCAAATTAATAAATAACTGTTGATCAGTAATATCTATCAAAAATCAGTCAGCCCTCCCAGGGGAGTTGGGTCTACACGTGAACACAGCTGCTGCGCTCGTGCATCCAGGTTAATCATGAACAACTCAGTGCGCATGCGCTAGTTGCACTATCGCGGTCTGATTATGTTTCAATCAAGGTTTATATGGATCAAATACATAACATCTGTGCCAAACATCTCAACTGATGAACATATTAACAATAATACAACCGTATAGCCGAATTAAATGTATGCATTGGCATGTTACAGCCCTAATGAGTATGATTATGTGAAACTCCATAAGGATACATATTGCAATGATTTCAGGTACTTACTTAGCGATGTACGCACACATATATGCACAATCCTTAAATGCTCTGCTGATTTGGACTCTATAATACCTGTTTTATAACTATCAACAACCACTATGTTCTTCCGGCTCCGTGGTGGATTTTGGCATAGTCCATTTCACGTGAGATGCCGGGGGTAAGTGGAAGAAAGAAGTCGTGGGGGAATATTTTCTACAGAAATAATTTATGATTTCTTATGTGGCCCGGTACCAATTGTTCCATGGACCGGTACCGGTCCACAGCCTGGTGGTTGGGGACCACTAGTTTACACTACAACATTGTGGTATAAATATGTAACAGTAAACCATCACCCACTGGTCGTGTTTTAGGGTGCTTTCACGCCTTTTGTTTCGGAAGCTGGTACGTTTCCACAGCTAACTAACTCGTTTGGCATATGTTAATCCAGCAATCGCGCTCAGATCCGCACCAAAACAATTGGCTTCAGTTCGCCTGAATAAGGTGGTCTCAGCTCGATTGAAACAAACTCTGGAGCAGATCGTTTGTAGTGAGAAAGCAAAACAATCCAACAAACTAAGGAACCATCACAGTGTATTATGGATATGTAATAGGTAGGCCCACACGGAATCTGCGCGCACAGAATTCCACAGATTTTCCGCAGAATTCCGCAGATTTCTGGAGATTTTTAGCCCATTATTAATTCTATTTATTTACTTGAGTAAATGTGTAAATATGAATTTATTCAGTTTTTATTCAGTAATTTATTACTTTTTATTTAATATATTAAGGTTTTAGTTATGATACTCCGCTGGATACTCCCAAAATAATTCCACAGAAAAGATTTTTACCAAAATTCTCCGCAGAAATAGCAAAAAACGTCCACAGATTCCGTCTGGCCCTGGTAATAGGCATATATGGCTATATGAAGAATTATGACATGTTTAAATCTATTTAATGCGACTATTTTAGTCCATTTAGAAACTTTGCCGTGTGAAAACAAACCGCAACAAGAATAAAATGCAACATTGTAACAACTTTAATCCCTGTTTCAGAACAAAACAATCGATCCACAGGTGTGAAAGCACCCTTAATCTTCTACTCTTCGTACATTACAAAAACAGTGGTAAAATATGTATTCAGAAGTTCTAGACCTTTCCAACGATATATAGTTTGTCATGATTAGATTAGGATTTCATTGGAAAAAAAGTGATGTAGATCCAAAAAGTGTTCCAGAGGAAACAAATAAGGGGGTTAAATGTAAAATATATCTATTTTCCCTAAAAAATAACAATATATTCATGCATGCTCAAAAACATGTTGAACTCTCACCCAGTCCTGAAGAGGAGGACACGCTGTCAGCCAAAGACGAGTTATCTGCGTGATCCGGTGAGAGTCCGTCCATCAGCGGGATGGAGAGCTCTGACGACGGCACAGATGAATCGTAAATCCCCGAATCTCTGGGCATCTCCGGCGGACTGGCGGATCCGTCAGTGTGAAGAACCGGCCGGCATGAACCCGCGTCCTGACTGGACGATCCCTCCCCGAGATCCTCTCTCGACAAACTCAAAGACAATCCCACCTGAGGCGTCTGCGGCAAAATCAAAACGTTACTCCTCACTGGAGGACACTCGCTTTCTGACCCATGCTTGAGTTTGACTTCATTTAGCACCAATCCTGAATCTACTTTTTCAGGAATGGTGCGTTTATTAGGTAGCGGCGGAGGCATGAGTTCCTTCTCCAGCCAATCAGGCTCCTGCGTGACGTGCTGATGCATGTTATAAATTGCAACATATAACGAGCGTCCCGATTTGCTGCAGAAGTAGTTGCGTTTGCTAACATTCGGCGGCTGTGGTTCACGATCGGTCAAACTCAGTTGGCGCGAATGCAATCGGGCGAAGAGTTGCGGCAGCTGATCCATCAGCTTAAACTTCGGCGCCAGGCTGAGTGAAGTCGGGACATCGGTTTCATGGGAATAATCGAAATACACAGACATGAAGCGCGACAGGTCGGAGGATTTCTGGTGCACTTCTTTGAGTTTCTCTGAGATGATGGCGGAGGCCACGATGAACAGATCTCTGCTGCTGGAGTCGCTAGCGCTTGGCTCTCGGTTTTTCTCTTTGGATGTGGCTTTGCCTTTGCGGTGGCGTTTCTCCACGAAGTGCTTCAGGCCTTTGGAGCAGACGGT